CGGAAAGTCTGCAAATTTTGTTATCCCGTTTATATTTTTGTTTTGATCCTTATTATCCCAATTTCTAAGGAGAGTCATGAAACGATTGGTTTGTTTTTTCCCCCTTCTTTTTCCGTTAAAAATATATCCTTTCCATCCCAGGAACATTTGAGCAATATATTTCTTTTCACTTACAGAGTATAAAAAAAGTTTGTAAAATTCTGGAATTCCCAGAATCAGTGCTCTATAATATGTCCTTCTTTGGACTTGACACATTTTAACGCGTCTTTCGTAATATTCAGAGGTGGCCAGACAGAAATGGACGTCAAAATCGGACACCCGCCTCTTAAGTAACCTAATATTAATTTAATAGTGTTGATAGAGGCGTTAAACACATACCATTACACCATTTTCACCAAACACAAGGATCCACCCAACCATGAGTGCCACACACTGTACACCTTACAGTATGGAGTTGTTTCTAGAGACAATAGCGGGTAGGTTGAGGTTCCCTAAATAGACATCATTAATAGTGGAGTTAACATAAATTATCCTAAAAGGTGAATATGGGCTTTGCCAAGGAACCTAATGTCATAGAGGAAATGTTCACGCTTTTCAATACGATTGAGAAATCATGAACACATTGCTACCCTCTGATCCATGTCAGCTTCGCGAACAGGAAACTGGTACAGTCGAGATGTAGGAAAGTCCTAGCTGCAGACATTATCTGCAGACATCTCATGGGGCTCATTTACTGAATGCTGCACCCTGGTGACGTTTAAAGGGATGCGAACGGTGTGTGTTTAACTTTAAATGGTCATTTTGCCTGGGAATTAGTTCTGATTCTCTACAGGTCCTAACAGATGGATCATTTTCACCCTTGACACCAAGGGAGGCCTGAAGGACACTTTGATATTATTTCCGCACCTTGTGCGAAACTTACACATGAGTTGGTGGTGAGGAAATGTTCAATACAAAAAGCTCTCTGCTCTTTACTAATCTTAACCACGATCTCAACAGACAAAGGAAACTTGAGAAGAACTACCTGCAAACTTCTGTTGGCCTGTTGGACTACTGAAGCTTGCAATATGGCCCAATCGTTGGAACTTTTTTGTGGTAGGCTTAATGCGAACTAGTGCGCCATGCTACAAAAAAAATGGGTTGTCTTTTTACGTGCTATGTAGCCTAAAGAAAAACAATTCAGTGGATTTATCTAAAGTGAAAACCAGACTCATTTCTTTTAACTACTAGATGTTTTGTACAAATTTGAAACACAAAACATTGCAGTGGAGGAAAATATGTCATTGTCTTTGTCATTATCATTATCATAATATTTACTTTAAAAAATAGTGGTTTAGTTGTTTTTTTTTTTTGGACCATCCTGTAAATAGGAATTCAAAGCCTCCAACAAATAAACACAAATGGAAGACAAATGGAAATTGTGACAGACTTTTAATACTTACAGTTAATGAAAACAGCAGATGGTATATACAAAAAGGAATGTAAGAAGAGGAATAGAAATGGCGAAACAAAATATGGTACAACTACTACCCAGTGCCCACTTAAGCGAAGAGACCACAAAAACATTGGTAACATCTCTTACCCTATCTAGATTAGAAAATTGTAACTCACTTCTAGCAGGTGTGAAAAACAAATATTTGAATCGTTTTCCAGTGGAACTAAGACAAACAAGAACACTTGATAGCTTCAAAAAACATCTTAAGCATTTTCTGTTCCTACAGGCCTACCCTTCAAAAGCTTTTAACGTTATTTTTTAAAATTATAGTTGTTCTGTGCCTACGTCTGAAAGAAAATAGTCCGTGTGTCTGTGCGTGTGTGTATGTGTGTGTGTGTATGTGTGTATGTGTGTGTGTGTGTATGTGTGTGTGTGTATGTGTGTATGTGTGTGTGTATGTGTGTGTGTGTGTGTGTGTGTATGTGTGTGTGTGTGTGTGTGTGTGTGTGTGTGTGTGTGTGTGTGTGTGTGTTTGTGTGTGTGCATAAATATTTATTGCATGAAAAGAAAGGAAGTAGTGAGAAAAATTTTGAAAATGGATATTCCAATGTAAAGGGCTTTTTTTAAGGAATGATGATGATGATGATGATGATGATTACGATTATGATTATGATTATGATTATGATTATTATGATTATGATTATGATTATGATTATGATTATTAGGATTATTATTGTTATTATTATTATCATTATTACTATTACTATTACTATTACTATTATTATTTTTATTATTGGGGGATCGGTTCTCTAATGCAAACCGCGGGGGTTTTTTTTAGGGTCACTGTCGGCTTCGTTTGGTTTGTGCCACGATGGTCGCTTTTCGCCCTCAATCTGACTAGCTCCCAAACCAAACCGAGCCGAATCGAACCGATGATGCCTATGGGCACTGGGTATAACCAACATATTATGTAAAGACAAAGGAGGGCCTAAAGAACCCAAATCTAAATTTTGAAACATATGATATGCCAGTCGTTCTGTATAAGAGTGAGGCTTAGGGATTTAAAAAAAGAAGATAAAAACCCAGTTTAAGCACTAGGAAAGTGGTTATACAGAATACTGCCTTGGGTCAAACTAACGAATGAAGATGTCATGAAAGAACATGATACTTAACGGAGTATGCTTTCTGAGATCAGCAAAAGGAGTCATAAGTACATTTGTCATGCAAACAAAAACAAAACCCAGAACAGACCTAATGACAACTGTGTTGCAAAGAAAATAAGAGGCCTTGAGAAATAGGGGGGGGGGGTGTCTGAATCATACATTGAAAATGTAAAATGTGACAGTGGTCTTCGACTTCATGAATTAATAATACATCAAAGCAGAGACTGGGGAAGATGGAGGCTTGTTGTGGCAATGAGAGGGGCACTAACTGACAAACATGGTCATCGTCACAATTGACAGGTGACAATTTGAACATATTAGGTACGATGAATTGAGTACTCAACAATTTTTGGTAACAACAGGGAGTTAATCCAATGGGACTCTTAAAAGTCAAAACCACTGTTTGTACACAGTACAAAATTTCAAGGACAAAACATATTCAAAGAAAAGTAACCTGAAGTATTGTTCAGACCTTAATCATAAACGGGTGTGAATCCAGATTCTTCGTCATCAGGTCCCTCATCTGCGACAATGGCTTTGTCTCTTCCTTGCAAAACATCTGAATTAAAATCAAACACAGGCGTTGTCGTGTCGTCATAATCATCAAATGTGGGACGTGGTAGTTTCGTGTGGTTACCAAACTCCAATTCGACCTTGTAGCCCTGAATGTCGTCAAATTTCCCCTCTAAAACAAACTCGTAATGTTTCTTCTCTGTCAGATTTCCCACCAGTTCTTTTACCAATGGGCGCCGATAAAGTACATCACCCCACATCCAAGGATTGGACCATTGCTCACTTTCTTCTTTCACAGCAACGTAAAACGGCTTGTTTTTATTTCCAAACTGATATTCAACGTTAGAAGCCTTCTGCCCCGTGTAACGTGTATGATAATTAGTATCGTGGGCACCGCTTCCGCCTCCCTTTCTTAGGTTCCCGTTAAACTTAGCAGTGCATTCCACGCGTACAGTTGCCCTATAATACTGGGTGGTCCGAGTCTTGTACATACGCGCTGTCCATTGATAGGCTGAGTGTGGCCATAGATCTTTTTCTCGTACCACCTCAAGTGATCGTTCTTGGATATTTCCAGTCTCATCCTGAGTTTCTCTGCCTCCCTCAGCATTTACGTTAAAGCTAAATTCACCTCCCATACCTCCAGCCTTAAATGGAGCTGAGTAGGACACCTTCATTCCAATACCGACAGACACTTTCCAGTGACTCGTGACTGTGTGTTTAACACTGCGGATACTCACATCACGTCTTATAATGGTTTCAGTGACTGGGGTAGGAGAATCATTCCTTAAAACACCAGAATCTATTGTCTGTGGGATTAACTCCGTTGTTTTGGAGTTGGAGTATTTCACATTCGACATGCTCAACGACCAATCCCCATAGGTGATCTTCAACTGAGGATTATTTTTGTCTTGACACTTCTTAGCTTTCCATGTGGTTCCATCTTGCTCGAAATTGTCTCCTGCCTTTTCCCCATAACACCCTTTGGTCCCTTCGTAGCCCAAATACCATGCAAGTTCAGCTAGTCCTCTAGCTGATCGTACCATGACCTTTTCCTTCGCTGTCTCGACAGAATCGACCTTAAATAAAGTAGTTGGTGGTTTGCAGCATTTCAGTTGTGTAACGCAGCTCCAGCCACAGCAGTTTCCCTTGTAGATGCCTGCGAGGAAGTATCCACGGTCACAACGCCTGGTTTGATGAGTGGGTTTTATTTTGCAGTCGTCATGTCTGGCGTAGTACTTGGTTGACTTGGTGCATCTGCCCTCTTCCAACGCGTATAGTCCAGACTCCCCTTTGGTGAACTTGAATCCTTGCAAGAAGTGACCTGGGGGACAATGCGCCCACCTGTTTTTATGGTCAAGGACTAACCACCAGTTTGCGACTGTGCTTTCCGTTTCAAACGCTGAAGAGAAAAGCGGTCGGCACATAGGATTCTTCAGAGCGTGTTCAGATATTCTTCCAGGAAAGCCATAGATTGCCCCAGTACTGGAACTGCACAGTTTGGTTTCGAACTCTAGTTTCTTTCTCGACTTGCTACAAGCTAGACAAGCTAAAGGCAGCAAATATATGGCCAGCAAAACGACAGTCAAAACATTGTAATTTGCCATTATTCGTAGCTACATATCCAATAAAAACATCCGAATTGTTCAAGTTTGGATAAGGGAAAGCCTTGTAGAACTAGGAAGTAACAGCTGTCTATCTTTGCCATAGAGAGCTGCTGGAAAGCTTGTGAGGGCTCTGTTATAAACAACACTATTTAAAGAGCAAGACTCGAGGACCGGAAAAGCTTGTAGTTACCCCTACTTACCTCTGGATAAGTAGATATTGTTATAAGAAAAATTTTCTAGGGAAAGTTGTTTAAGTGCTAAGTGTC